AATTCAAGGTCTTAATAAATATAATTGAAAAGTCTCAATGCAAAACAGAAGCATGAAATAAGGCAGAATTTTGATAAGAAATAAAAAGTCCTTAATATGAAAAGAAAAGTCTTTACCAAAGCGTCACCACTGGATGAATGATGAGAATGCTTGATCAAAGCTGGAGTAGGCTTTGCATGTTAACCAGGACTGGAGACCTTGGGGAAGACTTCAAAACAACAGAGCGCACAACACAAGGGGATCTGTGCTTAAATAGGAGAGAGGGAGTGGTGACTCACCTACTAGGAGGGGTTCCTGGGCCTATATAACTGAAAGGAGTGAGTAGGCATTAATGTGCTTCTTCTATGAGGGCTGGACGCCAAGTCCATTTGCAAATTAAAACCTACTACCAAAGGAAAACCACTATGGGTCCCCCAGGGTTCTGACAGAAGATCTTAAGGCAGTGTGGGGCCGCCTAACATGTTTGCTGGAGGGGAGGCAAGCTAAAGGACATACAGGGCATCCAGAAAAATGCACGTCAAAAAGGTTATACATTGATTTTCATGTCAATGAGTGAAATAAGTATTTGACCCCTTTGACTTATTACTTGGTGGCAAAACCCTTGTTGGTAATCAGAGGTCAGACGTTTCTTTGTAGTTGGCCATCAGGTATACACACATCTCAGGAGGGATTTTGTCCCACTCCTATTTGCAGATCCTCTCCAAGTTATTAAGGTTTTGAGGATGCCGTTTGGCAACTCGAACCTTCTGCTCCCTCTACAGATTTTCTATGGGATTAAGGTCTGGAGACTGGCTAGGCCACTCCACGACCTTAATGTGCTTCTTCTTGAGCCACTATTTGTTGCCAGGGCTGTGTATTTTGGGTCATTGTCATGCTGGAATTCCCATCCATGACCCATTTCCAATGCCCTGGCCAAGATTTGACGGTACATGGCCCCATCCATCGTCCCTTTGATGTTGTGCAGTTGTCCTGTTCACTTAGCAGAAAAACACACTCAAAGGTTAATGTTTCCACCTCCATGTTTGACAGTGGGAATGGTGTTCTTGGGGTCATAAGCAGCATTCCTCCTCCTCCAGACACTGGGAGTTGAGTTAATGCCAAAGCGCTCTATTTTGGTTTCATCTGACCACAACAATTTCACCCAGTTCTCCTCTGAATCATTTAGATGTTAATTGGCAAACTTCTTTTAACTTTTTTGACATGTGTTTTTCTGGATAGTTTGTTTGTTATTCGGTCTCTCACTGTTTTAATGGTAGATGTATTTTTTTTCAGTGGGCAAATGTTCAAAATCAGCAGGGCATTAAATACTTTTTTCCCTCACTGTAAAATGTGTCAATTGTATACAACAAAAGTTTGCTCTACCCCTCTCCCCTCCCCACCCCATTTCCATTTTTTTGCCTCTCCTATAACGGCGTTTATTCCTTTTCTAAAGGACTCATTTCACAAACCAGTTGAGACAATGCCACTTCATTTACACTAATCACTACTTACCTACCAGCCTTTCATCCCGCCCTTCATCCAGCCTCCATGGTTCCTTCTAACTTTATAGCATGCTTTCACAACTGTTTCACATCCCACCCAATTATCGGCTCATTCCATTTACACGCTTCAAGGCTGCAAATATCCTTTAATTCCAACTGGTGTTATGTGTACCCACAGGGGTACAATCTTGTTCATACAGAGGTAAGAAAAAAAAAATCTGTAATGGCGTTTCTACTGGTGCAGCTGCACTGCACAGGTTGTGAACCGCAGGACATGGACATGTGCCATCAGGTGCCCGGTCATGCTCTCTGGTGCTTTAACCTTATCTGCAGGAAGTGCCAGGAGAAAGTAAGAGACAGTCTCTTCCTCCCAGCTACGTGGGAGAGGGGTACAAACCGCGAGTGGGGGGTGGGCCGGGAGAGGAGTAATGCCCTAACTTTCATCAATATGACAGTATTTGTATTTGCATGTTTGTGTATTAGTGTATCTCCATGTTGAGCCTGCAGTTATGAGGGGTTACCCGGCCTATAAATAAATCTCTTATGTTTCTGCAAGCATATAGTGCATGGTTCAGCCAACCCACTTTTCCCTTCATTAAGCCATTCAATTTTGGTGGACCCTCTTTTAAACAGGCCTACCCGAATATCTGTTTTGGTACACCACGACTGACTTACACTACTCTCTACTATAACACAGTTTATTGTCCTTGACCACAAATATATTATATCTGAGCCTGGAAACCTCTGTGCTGTTGCTGTCTGGTTCAGATCTACGTCCAGTTCAAAGGTCATCAACACAAACTGCCTAAACTCCAAACAAGCTGGTCTTGGCCTCGTGCGGCCTACGCAAGTATTCATTTTACCTCACTAACTACTAGTGCAAATTCAGCCGATCTTAATAATACATAGCATCACAGAGCTGCCTAAATTCATCTCCTGCATTTTTCTTACTGTATTTGTCCCTCATTAGGCCGTATCTACTTTTATCATATGCATTTCAGTTAGTCATCCTGCATTTTAATGTTTTGTTATGGCTGCCCCCTGTGTATTCAGGCATGCATTCTCTGTACACAATACAACTTAAAAATACCTTATTATCTATAAAATCCCTTCACTTCTAAATGTCTAAAAAAAAAAAAAAAAAACTTTTTACAGAACAACCTCAAACTCATAAAATATATATCATATACATTTATGCATTTTCTAAATTTATGTCAGGCCCAAACTTGGACCTATACATGTGGTAGAGGAAAAAAATGTATATAAACTTGCATAAACATTCTCTGTACACAATTGTAAAAATTCCTTGTCCTCTTTAATATAGGGGAATATCTTCTAAATATCTAAAAATCTTCTTACTAAAACAACCTCAAACTCATAATGTATCATATGCATTTCAGTTAGTCACCCTACACATTAATGTACCTTTATGGTTGCCCTCTTGGTATTCAAGCACTCATTGGGCATACATTGTTTAGTAAATATGTGGCTAGGCGTTGTTACTGACTAAATGTATGTCAGATCCAAACTTGGGCCTATACATCTACTTAGCATTTATGGTACTGCCTTATAATAATCTGCCTTATTTCAAACAGATTAGTGGGGACAGAGTTTTCCCCACTTTCTGGATGTCCCCTAAATACCGGGGGCACAGGGACAAATAAGGGGTCCCCTGGTAGGTCTGATCTGGGTGAGCAACATACTTGAAATTCACCCAGATCGGACCAGGGGTTCGGGAGTTACAGATCGTTAAAGATTTGACCGACCGCAGGTACTCAGTAGCCGAAAACAGTTCCATGAATTCTGGCCCTGCGGTCGGTCTATTTTAGTGAAGCAAAAATACAGAACAGCCTAGCCATCCATGCGATTGCAAGCCTTCGTATGAATCCCCTCGTTTAGGGGAATCTATCTACCGAACGCCGGGGCGTTCGTGTGTTTGGTTCGTGCTGTCGGAGCATGCTGGAGGTCTTAGCGGTGCTTGGTTAGTCGAATGCCCGGTTTGAGTTCCAGGCGTTCGACAACCAAGTACCGCTGTTCGTGCGTAAGATGGCCGCCGCCACGTGTTTGGTAGGCGAAATGGCGGCCACACATACAGGTACTTAATTCACTTCGCAACATTGTATCGTTCAGCTAATGGGAAACACACGATCACCCTGGGGTGGTCTCCCGTTCGGTAGTTTAGGGCATTCGCATAAAAACATTAAAATAACATGAAAGTCCATTCGTGTCGTTATTCCCTTGGTGAAATTCACCCATTCACATAAAATGATTAGTTCAAGTGGCAGGGTTCGCCACAAATATATAGTGCTCACTGTATCTACTGTAGTAAAAGAATAAAAGGTATGAAATGTACTCACAATATATTGAGCAGGCCTTACTGCTCGATGTATAGCGTATGGGTGGTATAATCCCTACCTAAGGATTCTTTTGGCATCTCTTAGGATGATGAAGAACCATGTAGTCAGGCTTAAGAATAAAATAATATAAGTAATAAGATAAAATAGGAAAGGAAAGTGGCAACCAAAATATTTAGAGCCAAAGTTCCTTTATTTTAACAAAATATAAACTTATAAAAACTTTTTCTAGACACGTTTCGCCTACAACAGGCTTCTTCAAGTAGAAAATAGTAAAAACATAAACCTGACTTACATAGCTTTATATAGGATTCATTAATTGTATTGGAATTGAAATGTTCCCGCCAAAATGACGTCATTATAACCTTAATTAAAAAGTACAAAGCAAAGACGAACAATAATTATACAGACCATATTTGAATATACTGGGAAGAATATTTATACATGTAACTATTAAAAACGAGGTGCTGGTATGTTATAAATTGTATAAGATAAAAATCACGTGACGCGCAGCTAATTCACTTCCGCGTCACGTGGTTATCAATGAAACGCATGCGTCACATACAAGTGAGATGCATGCGTGTCGGAGGGAGGTCTGGAGTGGAGCTGGCACATAGCAGGCATCGCGTCACCAAAGGGGAGGAGCCCCATGGTGATCGCGAAGATAGACTAAGTGTGTGTTGATGTGCTGTCTGCTCAGATGGTAGGGCAGACAGCATACATACACACTACCCGAACGGGCCCCAGGTTCAGGACTCGGAGGGGGAGTCCATGACACAGATAAAGCATAATAAAGGGCCATACTCCACATTCCAAAGATACATTGACTGTGACCAACAATGAAACATAATTTCTAATTGTCATATTGGGAAACACAGCAAAGGAATATATATTTAATAATATTGGTAAATAATATACTAATAAATACATGAAAATATTCTTAAATATTATAAACATAATAAAAATAAATAAGATGCAGAATGAGATGCAAATTAAAAACAGAACAAAGGAAAACATTTCTTTGATATAAAACCATGAAAGAATAGTATAAACATATATAAAATATTAATGTCCCGAACGGTTCGCCGAACAGTTCACCACGGACTCATCATTGAGTAAACTTTGACCCTGTACCTCACAGTCAGCAGACACATTCCAGCCAATCAGCAGCAGACCCTCCCTCCCAGACCCTCCCACCTCCTGGACAGCATCCATTTTGAAGCTGCATTCTTAGTGAGCTGTCCAAGAGGTGGGAGGGTCTGGGAGGGAGGGTCTGCTGCTCAATATTATTATTATTTTTTTTTTTTTTTTTTTTTTTTATATATATATATATATATATATATATATATATATATATTTTTTTTTTATTATTATTTTAAGTCCTGTATACCATACTCCAAGAATCCCAGGTGGGGATTATACCACCTACGCTGTTACATAGAGCAGTTAGCCTGCCCTATACACTGTGAGTATATTTTATTATTTTATCTTACCATTCAAGTTTTGAGAGCACTATCGCTGTTTTACCTTCTCTTCGAGCTCCTGATACTCCGATCAAGATCACTCCTCATATATCCCATAAGCGGGGATGATACCGCTGTACGCCTAACCAACTAGAGCTAGCCTAAGCTCTACCGAATGTGAGTGTATCTATCATATTTTATTATATTTTTTATCAGTGTAGAACATACTGCACCATTACTGTCTTCATTTTATCTTCCCCAACTACGGCCACCTGCTACCACAAAGAAGAGGACAATTGCCGAATATCCTGTAAGCGGGGATAATACCGCTGCGAGCTATCCACACCAGAGCTGGGTTAAGCTCTGTTAATTGTAAGTAAGATCTCTTCTTCTTATATTTGGACTACTCTCCACGACCCCACCTAAAGTAGAACTTTGGACACGACAATATACATTGGACTCAACACTCAGTGTACACATCGGCGCAGACCCATCCCCCATTTTTTTCTGCTCCTACCATTTGTATCCCAAGGACACCAGAGGGAATCCTTGTTTGGGACTGCTGCCTCTCTGACTAGCGCTGACTCAACCCCCCGCTTCTTTAAATTAAATGCCCATTCCATTTCTTTACTGCTTAAAATCTTTTTGATATCTCCACCTCTCCAAGGAACACTACAGGTGTCTATACCTATGAATTTGAGAAATTTAGGGTTTTTTCCATATTTTAAAAAGTGCTTTGATACTGAATGGTTCTCATAACTAGTGATGTCCCGAACGGTTCGCCACGAACGGTTCGCCACGGACTCATCATTGAGTAAACTTTGACCCTGTACCTGTAGTTCTATTTGTCTATTTTTACTAGCCTTGTTTATTTTATTTTATTTCCTTTTTATATTTTATTTTAATTTTAATTTTTAAACGTTTATTTTTTTTAATTAGTGATGTCCCGAACGGTTCGCGAACGGTTCGCGAACGGTTCGCCACAGACTCATCATTGAGTAAACTTTGACCCTGTACCTCACAGTCAGCAGACACATTCCAGCCAATCAGCAGCAGACCCTCTCTCCCAGACCCTCCCACCTCCTGGACAGCTCACTAAGGATGCAGCTTCAAAATGGATGCTGTCCAGGAGGTGGGAGGGTCTGGGAGGGAGGGTCTGCTGCTGATTGGCTGGAATGTGTCTGCTGACTGTGAGGTACAGGGTCAAAGTTTACTCAAAGATGAGTCCGTGGCGAACCGTTCGTGGCGAACCGTTCGCAAACCGTTCGGGCGTATCGTTCGGGACATCACTACTCATAACCTTTTAGAATGTTCCGGCAGTGTTCTGCCAGTCTAGTTTTTAAGTCCCTAGTAGTCATACCCACGTATTGAATCCCACATGGATAGTCTAATAAATGACGTTCTTTGTACTACAATGAATAAAAAAATTTATGGGGTATGTTCTTTGTGTGATAGATGATTTAAAAGAAGTGGTTTTTGATTTAATAGTATCATCCGTACGTTTGCACACAATGCATTTGTTACATTTAAAAAAACCTTTAGGTTTGTTTAAAAAGAAGGGGCGGGGGCAAAAGGAAGAGGTAGTATGGCTTTGTTTAGTGTAATTTCTTGTGAGGATGAATTTAAAGCTGGGTGCCCCTCTAAATATAACATGTGGTTTATCGGGAATAATACCAGCTAGAGTCTCATCCTGTTTTAATATATGCCAATGTTTGTTGATCTTCTTCATAACATTACTTTTGTTATTGAAGTCGAAGATAATTGGCAGTATGGGGCATAACGTCATGGACGTCATTTTAGCAGGAACATTTGAATTCCAATACAATTAATGCATCCTATATAAAGCTATGTAAGTCAGGTTTATGTTTTTACTATTTTCTACTTGAAGAAGCCTGTTGTAGGCGAAACGCGTCTAGAAAAAGTTTTTATAAGTTTATATTTTGTTAAAATAAAGGAACTTTGGCTCTAAATATTTTGGTTGTCACTTTCCTTTCCTATTTTATCTTATTACTTATATTATTTTATTCTTAAGCCTGACTACATGGTTCTTCATCATCCTAAGAGACGCCAAAAGAATCCTTAGGTGTGGATTATACCACCCATACGCTATACATCGAGCAGTAAGGCCTGCTCAATATATTGTGAGTACATTTCATACCTTTTATTCTTTTATTTACCTTATATTGCACAGTAATAACAAGTATTTGTCAGGGTGGCGGTCCGGTGCCCGGAACCCAGACACTGTCCGGGCGGCGGTGCAAGGACCGGGACCCAGTATGCCTGATGATAAGTGGGAGTTTTCAGCATGAGAGTGGATAGGTCAGGGTGTGGTGCTGGGTAACCGCATGCCCCCTGGTGTTGAGCACCAGCATTTGCGCGGCCACATACCAGAACCCTGATGCAGCTACAGCAGATCCCAGGAACTAGATAGGGGGCATGATATGCAGACCTCCCAGGAACTGGATAGGGGGGCTCTGCAGCAGACATGTATCCAGTACAGAAACAAGGCAAGGCTATTATAGTCACCGAACATGAAAACAAGACAGAACTAATAGAACCCAGAACAGGACAGAAAGCAGAACCCAGAACATGTACACAAGAAATTAGGAAAACAAGAACAGGGCAGGACAGGACTGTACATGAACTGGGATTACAAAATAGAACAAGACAAGATATAATAGGCAAAACAAGAGGAGACATAACTAAGCACTATATATGAAAAGTATGGGGATTTAGTTACATTATATGATCATACATTGCATAAGCCTGCCACAACGCCAATGTACCCCATATTCGGCAGGTCCTACACTGCCTAATGTTCGCTAAAAGAACCATACTAAAGCACAATAGCACTTACCTGCAAGAAAGGGCAGAGACTTGAAACACTGCTGCAGGTCTAGACTGAAAAAAAGGAAAACAAATGGGTGTGGCAACGTAAAACAAACATTTAAAGGAAACCTGGACACTGGGAATTCCAGGGACGGATTACAGGAATGAACCCAGAAAAACACAGTATAAAGAAAACCAGACATAGAAAACCAAAAAAACAAGAACAACTAAACAAGAATTGTAAAATGAGTACTGGATCCCAGAAACCAAAGCCAGACATCTCCGCAGAACATGGCATGATGTGACAGTACTATGTATCAAGTCACCTACATCCGGATACTACATAATTTTCGGTGTTAGCGATGTACTAGTCTTCCTTTGGTTTTAGCCTTAGTCTCTAAGGTGTTTTCCTTTTCTTTTTCTAAACACCTTAGACACACCCAGGTAATCCCTAAACCCTGGACTGGTAGAGGGTCCTTGAGGACAAGGTTGAGAACCCCTGCCTTAGATAGCCTCCACTAATTATTTCATTATTACGCTTCTAGCCTAAATGATCTTCCTATCATTCCTGTAGACCAGATCTTACACAGGGATTTCACAATTCCTTTACCAGGGATAGGCAACCTTCGGAACTCCAGATGTTGTGGACTATATCCCCCATAATGCTCTTACACTCATAATTCTGGCAAAGCATCATGGGAGGTGTAGTCCAAAACATTTGCAGTGCCGAAGGTTGCCTATGCCTGTCCTATACCATGATACAAGTTTCCTTCATTTCTTCATTCCATATATCTATTTCCCTTATACAGCTCTATTTCTGTATCCTGCCTCCCAGGACCTATTCTCCAGCTTCACTCTTCCTACACATTTTCTCCTTACTTCTCATTTTGGGCTGCTTCGATCTTGCACTGTATTTGTAAGTAATAGGTGGATAGTTAATACAATGTTAAACAAAAATCTGCACTCCAGTCAAGCCATAAGACTTGCTTTTCCCACAGAAATCACAAATCTGCAGTGATGTTACCACCGCAAAGGATTCTGGGTGTGCATATGCAAATAAGTTTATTCAAAGAATCACATTTTTGCCTCATTTAACTTTGAGTCTGTGTTTGCTGTTTACAACAGCTTTGAAACACAACTTGGGAAAAGATGCAAAGCCAGTGAGCCACTCATGGACAGCTGTTTCATCGTTAATGCAAATCATCAGCATGAGGTTGGTTACTGGTTTGCTTATTGAGGCCTAATGGGGATTCAGTTATATTATATGATCATATATTGCATAAGCCTGCCACAACATCAATGTAGCCCATTCTTGGCAGGTCCTACTCTAGCAGCCTAATGCTTGCTCTTATGAGATTAATCCACTTACTTGGAAAATACTTATATAATATGTGTGTATGTATATAGGAAGGCAGAGCCTGGAGTTGTGGGAGGATCCAGTCTATAAAAACCCCAAACCTACCTCCATACCGGGATGACGTTGACTGGTCACTTCCGGTTTTGTCGAAAAAGGATTCTCTAGTGACTCCACCAGGCCTTGCTACAACAGGTTATCAGTCGGGCACTTCCAGCAGTCCTCAAACCACGATTCACCATCACCAGCTCAAAGCCGCAGAAACGCGATCGCTAGCAGCACAACTTCCGGGTCGGCCACCAGGCGGGTGCCTGGTGGTAACAGTGAGTACAAACGAACGCTATTAAACTACCGAATAGGGGACCCATGTGCCCATGCGCATTCAAGCTCTTGTAAACTTGCATATAAACGAATTAAAGCACCACTATAGTGCCAGGAAAACAAACTTGTTTTCCTGGCACTATAAAGTCTTTAGGTCTCACCCTCAGGATCCCATTCCCGCTGGGCTGAAGGGGTTAAACACTTACCTTTCTCCAGCGCCAGGCTCCCTTGGCACTGGGGAACTCTCCTCCCGGAAGCGCCTCTAGTGGCTGTCAGTGAGACAGCCACTAGAGGCTGGCTTAACCCTAGTGTAAACATAGCAGTTTGGCTGAAACTGCT